CCCCTACCTCCCACTTTATCTTTTTCTCTCCCCCCACCTATTTCTTTCTTTTCTCCTTCACTTTTTCATTCCCCTTCCCCCCTACTTCGAATTTTGTTTCTTTTTTCTTCTTTCCACCTCTCTTTTGATTTATCTTTTCTCTTTTCCAAAAATTCGAAATCATTTTTTTCCCACCCTCTTTTCTGATTTTCTGATTTTCTGATTTATTTCATTTATTTTTTTATTTATTCTGGAAATTCGATTTTCTCTACAGCAACCCTAAATCTGATTAGGTGTTAGCCTTTCTTGCTTTCGGCACACGTTTTGACCCCGTGGGGGTAACGAAGTGCTGCCGAAATTTTCTGATTTTCTCTTACTTAGTCTTTTCGGCACACTTTGACCCCATGGGGGTAACGAAATGCTGCCAAAATTTTTGAAAAATCAGATAACCCATTTCTCCCTACCTCCTCACACATTTATTTATTTATTTATTTATTTATTTATTATTTTTTTATTTATTTCCTGAAATTTCTTTTTATTATTTGCGGCATCTCTAGTGTGCTCACCATGGTCTCAGATTTTCCGGGTGCCCCACTTCTCCCCCCTCTTCGCACGACCGCAGCGCCATCTGGCTCTCCCCCGTGTGGGATGCCTCGCGCCGCTCGTACGTCTCCCCCTGCCACTCCTCGCTCGACCTACCTTCGAAGTCTCGAGGACGAGATCGCCCGGCTCCGGACCAACCTCGCCCTCTCACGCCTTCAGCCACCCCCACCCTCACAGGTGGCCGCGCCTTCCGGTGCACCCCCTTCTTCCTCTATCCTTCCTTCCATGCAGGCTCGCTTCCCTCGCCCTGCACCCTACCAATCTCCATCCTACCTCCTCCCCATCCCCTCGGTCGCCGCGACCTCTTCTACCGCAATTCCCGTCCAGCCTGCCGCTGCTTCCCCCGCCGCTCCACCATGCGGCCCAGGCGTACAGTTAGTTGCGCCTCCTTCTCCTCCAGGACCTGCGCCGACTTATTCCGCCGTAGCACAGTCCCCTGCTTCCCATTCCCCTCGCCGCCAAAACGGTGGCACACCACTCATCCGCTTGTCGGACATTCCCTTGTATGACGGTACAGGCATACGTGTGTCTAGGTGGCTGCAGGCTGCCACCCGCACGCTCCGGCTCATAGGCGCCACACCCGACACATGGGTGGGTCACCTCTCCACGCGCCTGCGTGGTGCTCCTTTCGACGCCTGGGAGGATTTCTATGCTTACTCCCTGCGTGAGGGTCGGACTCCGACCTTCATGGATTTCCAAGCGTTCCTCGATGATCGCTTCGAAACCCGATATGATGTGACTGACGCCTTCGAGCGTGTTGTCACTACACGCTGGTCCGGCTCTGGTGGCGTTGCCGGCCTTGATCGCCACATCCAAGTTTTTCAGGACGCCCGCCTCGTTTGTGACGTGGCGTTCCTTCCCGAGGCTGCCCTTATCGATCGTTTCTTGGCCAGCCTCCCGCACGAGTACCGCTCCGAGCTATGGCGGTACGAGTTCACATCGGCCCCACAGGCTTACGAGGCCGCCAGGGATCAGCGGATGCGAGCCCGTCTTCACCCCGCCTCCTCCTCCCAGCCCCAGCGAACGGGTTACGCCTTCTCCTCCTCTCACGGCACTTCCCAGCGCCGTTCCCCTTTCCGCGGTCGCCCCCGCCGTTCCACGCAGCAAGGCCGCCACTTCTCGCGCCGCTTCAGCGCGCTGGAGTATGGTGAGCAGGACGATGTTGCCCCACTGTCATCTGAGGGCGACCACAGCGACGACCTCGATCTCTGCGAGGCCGTCCACTATCATTTGGAGGACTCTACCCTCCCTGCAGCTGAGGGCCTTCAGCTCGCGCTCTTTGCCCTCTCTCGGGCACGCAGCCGCCCCGGTCACGCTGGCGCATCGCCCCCGAGGTACCTCAGGAGGACCTCCCTCAGGGCTTCGTCCCTCCTCGTGGTGTCCTTTCCCCTGAGGAGCGCGCGGCTATTCTGGGCCGGCGTGGGTGTTTGCGTTGCCGCTTGGACGGTCATACCTCCTCGCGGTGCCCTTACACTACCGCCCTCGACCGCCACTGCGCTGACCTTTCTCGTCAGCGTCGTGCTCAGTCCCCCCCCGGCGCCTCACGTCCCCGCGGCGCCTCCTAGCCACGGTGCAGTGTACACCTGCGCCCTCCTCAGTAGTGGGCTTCTCGACATCTCCGTCGCGGTTCGCCCCTCTCGCTACTAGAGTTGAGGTATTGCAGGACTCGATAGAGTGTACTCAGCCCTCTGTTGCAGTACCGTCTACGCCTCCGCAGACCACCGTCTCCCCTCTTCCCCCGCCGCGACTACCGATGCGTCAAGCCATTCGCTCAGCCCGTTGCAGCGAGCAGCTTGCTATTCGCGAGGACGTTGTGTCCTCTCTTCTGGACTTGAGCATGCTCCTGGCTCGTCAGGAGCGACTCACCCTCCATGTCGCTGCACTGCGTCGCCTTCTCGCCATCCTCTCTGACCCTGATCGCACCCTCCCGATCATCCCCGTACGACTCGGGACCTCCACGAGGGTGTACTCAGCGCTGTGGGATTCCGGTTCTCAGGGCGACTTTATTCACCCACGCGTGGTGAAGGAAGCTCGCTTACCCACGATAGGGTCTCCGACTCCCATCTCCGTTACCCTAGGGGATGACAAGACCCGGTGCTTCTTCAATCAGACGGTCACCGACCTCCCCTTCTTTCTCACTCTCGAGCCGACTGAGCGTTCCCCGGCGTCTCGTCGCCACCGCTCCTCTGCACATTTCGATGTGATGGAGACGGGGTACGACTTCATTTTCGGCACTCTGTGGTCTCGTCGGTTCCGCAGCACCGAGGCCGATTAGGCGACCAACACTCTCGTTCTGAAAACGAAGTGTGGACAGACGTATCGCGTACCTTTCATAGGTACCACGGCGACACCACGCCCCGATCCTCCTCCCCCGGAGCCTTAAGTGCCCACACCATCTCCCTCTATCACTGTCACCTCGCCTCGGCAGTTCGCTCACTTCATTCGACAGGAAGACATCACCTTCTTTATGGTGGACGTGACGGATCTCTTACACTATGATCCACCCTGTCCCGACGCCGAGCTCATCCCTCTGGAGCCAGATCCTCCCTCTATCTCCATGGCTCTCATCTCTATTTCCGTCCCTCCGCCGTCCGTCGAGTCCACCCCGCCGTCGCGCGCTGACGCTGACGCTGAGGAACTCGCACGATATACGGCTGACTTGGAGCCCGCAGTTCGTGACCTCATCCGAGAGTACCACGACGTTTTCCCATCGTCGTTCTCGTACGCCGGCATCCCACCGATGCGTGACGTCGAGCACTCTATTCAGCTTGTGCCTGACTATCGTGTTCACCACCAGGCACCCTGCAGACTCTCGATCCCCGAGGCCACCAAACTCAAGCGTCATCTTGAGGAACTCCTGAGACTGGGTTTCATTAAACCCAGCAACTCCCCGTGGGGTGCACCCGTTCTCTTTGTTCGCAAAGCGGATGGAACTTTTTGTCTCTGCATCGACTACCGCGGTCTCAACCGCTACACGGTTAAGAACAACTACCCTATGCCTCGTTCCGATGAGTTGTTCGACCTCCTAGCAGGCAACCGCTTCTTTACGAAGATCGATCTTCGTAGCGGTTACCATCATATCCGCGTCGCTGCAACCGACGAGCCGAAGACCGCGTTCCGATCGCGATTCGGCCACTACGAGTTCACGGTGATGCCATTCGGCCTCACCAACGCACCCGCTACCTTCCAGACGGCGATGAACGACATCTTCAGGGACATCCTGGAGCAGTACATTCTCGTCTACCTCGACGATATCCTGGTCTATAGTCATACCCTTGAGGAGCACCTCAGACACCTCCGCGACGTCCTTGACCGCTTGCGCAGACATGGCTTCTACGCCAAGTTGAGCAAGTGCCGCTTTGCCCATCACAAAGTGGATTTCTTAGGACACTACGTGTCTGACCAGGGTCTCCCCATGAACGACGCGAAGATCACTGCTATTGCGGAGTGGCCCGCCCCCACATTAGCGTATTCCTACGTCCTTACCTCCACCCTCCTCCGGAAGAACCCACCCTGGGCTTGGACACCCCTCCACGAGGACGCCTTCCACGCCCTCAAGAAGGCGGTGACATGCGCACCGGTTCTTCACCTACCCGATTTCGATCGCACTTTTATCCTTACCACCGATGCATCTAACTTTGTTGTAGAAGCAGTGCTTTCTCAGGTCTTCCCCTCCTCTCTTGATTCCTCTCATCCTCGTATCCCTCGCTTCCCACCACCTACCCCTACCACCGCTTCCCGAATGACGCCTACTCGTCCAGCTACGGACGAGCCTTCTATTGACTATTCTTCTACCATCGTCGAGGACGGCAATGTCGAGTCTCGCTCAGGTGATTGTCCGATAGCCTTCTACTCCCATCAGCTCCTGCCCGCCGAGATAAACTACACTGCTGATGAACGTGAGGTTCTCGCAGTAGTTAATGCCGCTCGGCACTGGCGTCACTACCTGCACGGGGCACCGTTCATGGTGCGTACGGACAACTCTGTTGTCCAGGCTTTTCTGACAAAACCGAAGCTCACTCCTCGACAGGCTCGCTGGTGGCGCGACGTATCCGAGTTTAGTTTCACCACTGAGCACATCAAGGGTGAGACTAATCGGGTCGCAGGTGCCCTATCCCGGCGCCCTGACCACGACCAGGAGCACATCCAGCTCTCTTCCATCTCGGTCACCACCGTCCACCACTCGGTGATCGACGAGTTTCGCACTCAGTACCGCCACTGCCCCGACTATCGCGACATCCACGCGACCCTTCGGAGTGGCAAGACCGTCCCGAAATGCTCTCTCGGGGACAACGGTCTTGTGTACTGGCACGGTTCACAAGGCACCAGAGAGCCCCGTATTTGCGTTCCCTCCACTGGAAAGCTACGTGTCCAAGCAGTAGCAGAGTTCCATGACCAGGCAGCCGCCGGTCATATGGGCTTCCACAAGACGTTGGCCAGTGTGAGCCGCGTGTACGTCTGGCCGAAGTGCAAGGACTTTGTGAAGGACTACGTCGCAAATGTCCCACCTGTCAGGAGATGAACAGTGCGAACCACCTACCTTATGGTTTGCTCCAGCCTCTTCCTATCCCTGAGGGTCGTTGGCAGTCCATCTCGATGGACTTTATCGGTCCTCTTCGACCTCCGGCCCCCCGCGGTCATGATGCTATCCTGGTCGTCATCGACCGCTTCACGAAGCGTGCACGCTTTGTTCCGTGCCGCTATGCTATCAGTGCACGTGAGGTCGCCGACATTGTGTTTGACCGAGTCGTGCGCGACCACGGCTTACCTCTCAGCATCATATCTGACCGTGACCCGCGCTTTACCAACCGATTCTGGCGACGACTCCACGAGGTATACGGCACTCAGCTCCGCTTCTCCTCGTCTGACCATCCTCAGACTGATGGTCAGACCGAGATCACGAACAGGACTCTCGGAGATATTCTCCGAAAGATTGTTCGTGACGACCAGCAGTGGGACCTCCATCTTGCCCACGCGGAGATAGCCTACAACCACGTCGTCTCGCCAGCCACGGGGATGTCGCCTTACTATTGCGACCTCGGCTATCACCCTCGTGTTCCCGCGGACTTCCTTCGACCGTCACAGATGCACCCCGACACGAGTTGTCCCGCGTTGGATGATTGGGTTGCACACATGACGTCGATCATGAAGACTCGCATGGCACTTCCCAGACTCGCATGGAAGCACGTACGAACCGATCGAGGATGGATCATCCATTCAAAGTCGGTGATGATGTGCTTATCGACGCCCGCCACTTACAGCTCGAAGCGGATACGCTTCGCAAGTTTCGGCGTCGCTTCTTTGGTCCATGCCGCATCCTCCAGGCCGTCGGTTCTGATACGGCTTCTAGCGCGGTCAGCTTTCGTGTGAAGCTGTCCGACTACGCCAGGCTCGTGTGCACGATGTCTACCACGTCTCGTTACTGCGTCCTTACCGCAGACCGTCTGAGCGTTTCGCCGGACGACCGTACGAGCGCCCTCCACCCATCATGGTGGACGGTCACGAGGAGTTCCTCGTTTCAGACATCATTAGTTGCCGAGTCACCGACGACAACCCTCCCCACGTCGAGTATCTTGTACGTTAGAAGGGTTACCCTGATGAGGAGGCTACCTGGGAGCGCCTCGAGCACTTGCAGCACGCTCGCATGTTGGTGCGTGCCTATGGCCGTGCTCGTCGGGCTGGGTTCACTGCTCCTCCTCAGCCCACTGACCCTCCTCCGTCTCCTCCGACTGAGGAGACTGCTGAAGTCAAGCCTGCTCCATCTGAGGCAGACCTTTAACAGCAGCCGTATGCTTCTGAGCGTCCACAGCGCACTCGTCGTCATCCTACGACGATTGACTCTGACTTACCTTCCCATGTCTTTGACTTCTCAGTACTCCATCCACATCAGTTTTGCTACTTCAGCTCGTCGACGCTGCGGCTCTTCCTCGACGGCATTCCGGACTTCTCATCGTAAACGTCATAGGCAGCTTCATGGACTTCGTCACGATCAGCTCTGCCTACTTCAGACGTCGCCACTCTCTGACCACTTTACCCTGTACAGTACCCTGCTTGTGTCGCATGATGGTCTCCCTTTAGCCGGGTTCCTCTGAGTTGGGYTCTCCCTTGGTATACGCATAGGCATCGGGAACGTAGCGTTGCCCTAGCTTCCCACCTTACGGATCTAGCTCCGACTTCCTTCACCTTAGGAGTCATCTGCATGATTCTCTTACCCATCACCTTCCTACCCTCTGCCGGCCCTCACACCCTAGTTAGGCAGCCCCGCATGCTTCATCTAGGTGCGCCCAGTATACCAAGCTCCCTTGTTCCCTTGCATGGTCGACCCTCCATAGCGGTCACCCCTTAGCCGAGCTTTACCCGCCCTAATGGTCTATTTGTTAGGGTCATTGGTTCTGTTCGCTCCCAGTTCCCTACCCTCATTTTGAGCCTGATGACATGTGTCTCCCTGTTATCTATGTGTGGATGCCCTTAGGAGTTTTCGACCCCTAGGCTGCATTCCCCACCTTCAGAGACCATCCCACCCTTTGGTTTGCAACACACCCCTCCTGTGACATATGGTTGACTTGTTGTTGCTTGTTGCTCTCATACTGAGGCTACTGCCTCTGACATTTCTAGGATTTAGTTGTTCTGCTTTTGTTGTTCTTAGGACTTATACACTAGTCAGTTGTTACCAGACTGAGGTTAGTGCCTCCAACATTCTAGGATCTAGTTGTCACTACTTCCTGCTTTCCTAGGACATGTATGCTAGTTAGTTGCTTCTGCTTTTACTCAGGCTGTTAGCTGTGACATTGTTGTTCTGTGACATTTTATAGCCTAGGTTGCATCGCATGGACTCAGCATGGAGCTTGCTCCGCATCCTAGACTACTCAGGTTTTTCTTTTTCTTTGGTAGAGTTCCGCTTCTTGACGGAAGCGTGTTTGTATCTAGGCGATCCATCACAGGTCGAGGATCGTGTAGCGGACCTCTGGTTGGGTGGCCTGTGAGACCAGCCCCTTGGCCTGTTCTCACAGGCCTGTGTTCTATTCGGGGGCAGTCCAGTCCAGTCCAGTCCAGGCCGGTACCTGTCGGTACCAGCCAGTCCAGTCCAGTCCCGTCAGTCCGATGGGGCATACCCCAACAGTTGTTTGTTTTCAGTCTCATTCTTCACTTGCACATTTTGGAGTACGTGCGTTGGAGTCTTGCGTGGGGAGCTGCGTTGTGCACCTTGCTCCCTCCTTCCTCCATCTCCATCTCTGTCACTAGCGGAGCACCACACCTGGTGGGTCCGCTACAAGCTGAGAACCACTGGATCTGCCATGGTCAGGATCAGCGCGTCGAACATCCTATTTCAGGGCATAAGTTTCGTCAATGATGGCCCCCGCCCCACTCCGGGGACTACCAACGACCAGGCGGTCGCCCTGCGCTGCAAGGGCTTTCAATCTACAGTTTTACACCTGTCGTTTCAAGGAGATCCACGACACTTTGTACGCTCACAAGGGGCTTCCTTTCGTCAAGAACTGCTACTACATCAAGGGGACCGTCAATTTCATCTTCAGTTATGGGTCGACGCAGTTCCAAGACTGCTGTATCAAGAACTTACCGAATACTTTCACCGTAACAGCGCAGGGCAGGAAAGTGAGGTCAGAAAACAACAGGTTCCTCTTTCTTCATGGAACCGTTAACGGGTCATGTGGTGCTCTCTCCTCAGCAGAGCATGGGGAGCATATCCCAAGGTTTCGTTCGTCCAGACCAATCTCTAGGCCTCCATCAACCCCGAAAGATGCGACAACTTCCACAACCCTGCTAGACAAGCAACAGGAGCAGAGGGTGATAGGCGCAGACGAGTTTCATACTCTCCTGCACTCTCGGCCACTGATGTCCAACCTTATCTGGATGGCAACAGAAAATGGATCAGCGGAGGATCATGGGTGCGGGTTCCAAACCCGTGGCCAGGAATACCCGCAAGCTAGCGCGCGGAGAAAATGGTTTAATATACAAGGCGTTTAACAGTCAAAAAACAAAACGAAGGATTGACCGCTGTTTGATGTTCATTTTCAGCTCGACGGTGTGACACTAGACTGGCCACTCGATAATTAATAAAAACAATGTGAAGTGCTTCCAAAATCTATGTTGTTATATTTTCGTCCATTTTTAAAAGGGAAGGGGAGGGGCGGGGGGGGGGGAGGGGAGAGAACAGCATGATTTCAAGTTNAGCATGATTTCAAGTTATTTGACAATATATGACTTCTTCTGAAATCATTGTGAGCGAATCGTGGCCATAGAGAGTGCCTGATCAACAAGAGGTAGAAGCCGTTCATCTTGGAACCACAATGCAAAACCATAAAATCTCCGAACAATGTTTGTAACCAGAAACCTTGGAAGATGCATTTGTATGTAAGGAGGCGCTGACGTGAGAGCAGCCAAGCACAATCCCAATTTCACAAAATTTGTGAGACAGTGAATGTCAGACAATCATGACAAACAATGAAAAAGACACTCTGGAGGGCCCCTTTGAGTATATAATCTTTGCAGCACTCGTCCGAAGTGTTGAGCTAGCTGCCCCAGCTAGCTCCACGATTTAAACCGCCAGTGGATGGCCCCAGGCTACGTGAGAAAAGGAATGGCTGACTCCTAAAACTACAGAGGCTCAGACCCACCTGACCACAATGGCAGGCAGTGACAGTCGGAAAAGACAAAAACTGTGCCACTGGTTTGGCAAAGCTTTGCTGTGACATCAACTTTCTTCATGAAAACCGTCACTTTACAAAAAGAAAACATATTTTCGAAATCATGAGAACTTTGCGTTAGCTCACGGAAAGAGAAAAAAAGCACACCGTAAAATCTGAACAGTGCTCTGTGAGTTGAAAAGTCGCCCAGTGCTACGGATGGTTGCAAACTCAGGGTTGACAACCTCAAGTGATGCTAGTGGGACATCTGCCGGGAGAGAGAGAGAGAGAGAGAGAGAGTGCTACCGATGCTGGCAAACTCAGCGTTGCCGACCTCAAGTGAGAGAGAGAGAGAGAGAGAGAGAGAGAGAGAGAGAGAGTTTGTCCTTCGTTTTTTCTGGTGCTGCCACCCCCCCCCCCCCCCCCCCCCCCCGGGTCCTGCCTGACATCACAGAAAATCAACCCAGGTCATAAATGAAAACATTTCACTAGATCCTAGAAAGCCATGTATGTATTTTCTGTCCAAGTCACACAAGCACCTCTCTCTCTCTCTCTCTCTCACATACACACACACACACACACAGGGGTTCAACCTCCTGACAAGTCGGTGAAAGTGCAATGAAACAGTCTGTTCCGTACAGTCATGCTTTTTTTTAGTGTATAGCAAATATGACAACACACACACATCGAGTGACAAAGAGGGCCATTTCTTTGGGCCCTCTGATAGCTAGAAAATCAGCAGAGGAGAGGACGAGAAAAGAGAGATCAGAGCCACAAATGGTACTAGTGCGATTGAACCTTGGGTATTCCTTTGCCAAGCTTGTGCATGCAGTGTGCTATGCCCCAAGCAGAGATGAAAAAACAATCTTGGCTGGTTCCCTTCCCCATGGTTTTGCAGCTTGGGAATGGCTAACACCTCAGGACCACACGGGACCGCACAGCTGAAGAAAGAGAGCTGAGGCCGCAAACTACAGAAGTGCAACGGCGGCCAAGTCCTTGGGGACATCCGTTTGTAATATAATACCAAAAATAGCAAGCCCAATAGTTAATAATAGCTTTTCTGCAGCAGCTACAGTTAATAATACAAATGAAGAACATAACTGAGCCATCATGTCATTTAGATAAAATAAATTTGAAATGGTACAACAAAAGAAGATAAGCATGGCCCCTGTGCAATGATGACATGCATTACTCGAGAAAATTGTCCAAATAAAAAATAAAGTACATAAAAGAGAAGCTGACGCCACCGAGTGCTTCACTCACTACCTTTCGAAATGCTAGCAGGTCCTTCATGCTCGCAACCGCCGCCATATTCACCCGAATCGACGGTCTTCAAATCCGTAATTGGGTCAGCTTCCACCAGTCCATCTACAGCCATAATCACCAAGCATTCTATGCGTGCGGCAACAACATGGACAACTATAATGACCGCGCGTTCTATGTGAGTGGCGACAGCGGCACTTTCTCCAAGTGCAGCTCCAGAACTCGAAAGAGTGCCGATTTCCGAGCAAAAGAGAAATGAGACGGAGTTTGGCATCCATATCTGAGCAGAATTCCTGATCAGTCTCGATCGGATTTACTCTGAACATGCCCAGCAAAGACCCCCCCTCTCACTTATGCAGGATGCGCCAGAAGACCCCAAGGCACAGGTACCTCTGTACCTCTGACCGACGAGATGCGCGGGGGGAAAAAAATAGACATGAAACCACCAGTTCACACATGTCTGAGATGACAGCTACCTTCCAAAGGCTCGCAAGCCTGCAACTGCGCCTTTGGAAAGCGTTCTGTGGCTGCT